GAAGTCAATGTCATTATTATTGTTATATTGTTTACTTTCTTAAAAGTTTTATTGTTATTCAAATCTTCTTACTGTAAAGCGCATATGAACGTATGGATATTTGCGCTATATAAATTGCACATTATTATTATTATTATTATTACTAGCGATACAAATCAAACGGTTGCATTCCCCGGGACTTCTCACCCCTTCGGGGCTCGTTCAGAAAACGGCTCGCCTCTTCGGGACTCGCCATCGTTCTTATGGGTCAGCGGAAAAACATATTTAAAAAAAATGGCGGTAGCGAACTCGATCCAACCAAAGGATTAAAAAAGGATTAAAAAAGGTAATATATAACATTTTGCTGTGTTCCCCTTGCTTGAAACCATTATCCTGTTATCATCCAGCTGAATTCGGGAAAGGTCTGTTGATGCTAGGGATCCTGATGTCGATCGCGCACCTGTATACTGCGCCACTCAGTTGTTGTGATTTTTGCTATCTAAGGTCTCAGTAGCGTCTCCTGGCTAAGCATGCTGGATATAATGGAATTAAATAGCTAATAAATACAAATGATTGAACAATTTGGTTTTATGATTGCCWTTGCCATTTTATTTAATTGTTTTCATTCCTCGTAATAAGGAGGTTTTGGACTGTGGTACACAACCTGTGCCTTAATCGTTTAATAGATCTAACGATGAAGCCGCTTATTCCTCTTTATGCATGCATATTATTTCCGTGTTATGTGAATTCGTTGAAACGATTCATCTATGGTGTGCTCCACCAGTTAGGCTGGTAATAGCAGTAGAACAGCCTGATGTTACTGCCAATGTCGCCAAACGGGACACTTTTTGCTTTATCGGTTTCGTTATTATCATCCTCCAAATCCCAWTWGGCCCATTCTTCCATTGCCGTCATTCCATAGACTTGCTGACAAATGCCGTCCTTTGCCTTGTACAGTAGGAAGGGCACACTGGATGGTAAATAGATGGGATTGGATGGGAAATCATCTTTACGGCAGCAGAAGTCGATGACAGTATTTGGTCCACTGAGTGCAATTATTTTGCCCTCTAAACCATCGGGAAGAACACCATTGTGTTTGTTTTCGTTATCATCATCTTCATCGTCCCAGCGAATGCCTCCTTCAGCGAATCCTATATATAGCAATAAAAMATATATATAAATCTTACATAATCAGCATACTTACATGACATTTGGAGGTAAGYGCACGTTGCAAAAAGGTATGAAATGGACATCAACATTCTCTAGACGATTCTATTGAATTTCTTAAAATCATCAAGACATATTGTTAGTATACACTTAGCTAATCTAATGAATTTATCTGTTAAGACAGGTCGATACCCAACAAGACTACAATATCAAAGAATTGCCCCACAAAAGTTGTCCTTCGTTTAGCAGCCATATATGGTAATCTTACCTTATTTGGAAGTACGATAAGAATGGTTTTTGCCGATTTTCTCGTCTTTTAAAGCTTGAAATCGTCTGAAACTTGCAGATATTATAGCGAAAACACTTCTCAACAATCGGCCATTTTGTTTGTTTCCATATATGGCATGGATTCGCTAAAGGATGCCCAAAACTAAAAAGCACAGGGAACCCGCACTAATGACATACGATTCGAGCTCTAAGATTATCCCAATTCGCAAAGCTGATGCATGATGACACTGATCCTAGCAATTATCGTCCTATTTCGTTCTTGCCGTAATTTAACAGGATATTTGAAAAATGCATGTATAATGTATAGTTTAAAACACAAGAGTGTTTTATCAGGTATAAAGATTCGAGCCGAATCTTTATACCTGATAAAACGCGATCTCGAGTGTTTTGAACGGCTTCAAAACTCAATTCAACACTAATTTGAAACTCAAATCCGTTAAAATTCTTGGAGAAATTGCTGTAAAAATAAGTTTTGGGATAAATGGGGCAAACTGATCATGCGCGAATCACTTTACAAAACACTCTTGTCATCCCACATTGAACACGCATAAAGTAAAATATAASCGCTTTTGCCTGTTAACTGCAATCGGTTGACATCCGACATTGGTCAATGTTCCAGGTTTCAAAGCTGAGACATTTGCTAGKGTCATGGACCTTTATATCTGATAAGGTCACCCTTATTAGTATTCTTTATATAAAGGAGTGTTTTATCAGATATAAAGGGTCCATGCATGTGACCAAATAGGCTCATTCTATTGGCCTAGTAACTCATTAATTATGTATGTTTTTGAAAGATTGTTAAACTTTGTTGATAGCAGTAGTAACTGATTTTCAATATGGGTTTGGAAAGGGGCATTCTACACATCATGCTCTCCTTGACATTGTCAGTACTTTACAATTAAATATGGAGAAAAACTCTATTGTATAATGGACTACACAATAAACTCGCGCCGAATGCCATCAGAGAGGAAATATCAGCGAAATATAATCAGGGTTACTATAAAAACGAAATAACACATGGTTTACGAATATCAACGAGCTCCGTTAACAAAATAACACGACATTTACAGCTTTTTGCTTGGGACGAACATTCCTTTCTCATCGCCCAACCAAAGTAACAGATTGTTAACATTTGCAATGCATCGAAAATTATAAAAGCCCATCATGTTTGGCAGCGAATGACACGAAGAAAGCTTTTGGCTGAAGGTTTATAATGTTTATGAAAATCCGATCAATAATCCAATCAAATTTCGAAGTTTGAATTCAAATTTGATTTCAATAATGCAATGTTGAATCGACAAAGAATCAAATAATGAATTGAATAATGGTGTTTTGAGGGAGCGCGCTTCATGTCTTTTGACTGCAATAATTTACAATCCTCCAAATTGATAGATAACCATAAAGACTCAAAACGTGATTAGTTTCCAATTCACTAGGTTTTCTTTGTTATTCATAGGGTTGAATATACCATAGAAACTTAAAGCCGGGGAGGGATTTGATATTCAGCAGGGAAATGTGGGGTTGATGAATTGAATTGAATAGCTCGTTATAAATTCAGCGGGCTATATATGAGTGACCGGAATCACTCA